TTTCAATTAAAATGATATGTATACGAGTAATATGGGTTTTGGGATGAGGAGACTTTATTTGTACCTCTGCTTTTAAAAGAAATATTCATTTGGTATATTGTTTTTAACTTTTTTTAAGTTGTACATGGACATAACTCCAGGTTGACAGATTTTTCCTTTCAGTATGTTAAAAATATTACTTCACTGTCTTCTTGCTTGCATTGCTGTCACCACTTTCTGTGTTCCTCTGTACATAATATGGTTTCCCCCTTGTGGCTGGTTTAAAGATTTTCTTTGATTTTAAGCAATTTATGATGTATGCCAATTATTTTCTCCTCATTTCTCTCCCTAAAGCACACAAATTTTGTACTTGAGGCTACTTGAAATTGTCCCTGGATCATTAATGCTCTTTGATTTTGAAACTTTTTTCTCTCTATGCTTTGTTTTGTAATTTCTATTGCTGTATTTTCAATTTCACTAACTTTTTCTTCAGTAACGTCTAATCCAATCTGCCATTAATCACATCTTGTGTGTTTTTCATTTTAGACATTGTTGTTTTCATCTCCAGAGCTCACCCTGGAATATACTAGACTCCTTTTTTCCTTACAAAAGTTGGAGATAACCCAGTGATTTTAGAAAGCAGTTACATTATTGCCTTCTGCATAAGAAACACTCTGAAGCCCCCCATTGTGGCATATGCTTGTTATCCAATTGAGGCAGAGGTAGCAAGATTAAGTCTGGAATGAATATGGGCAAATTAGTAAGACTGTTTTAAAATAAAGAAATAAAAAGGGCTGAGGATGTAGTTTAGTGGAAGAGTGCCCCTGGGTTCAATCCCCAGTACTGCCATCACCACTACAAAAACAAACAAACAAACAAAAATTTGACTATACATTTTACCTTAAAAAGACATCATCACAAAGCAGCTCTTTTCAATTTTTTTTTTAGTTGTAGATGGACACAATATCTTGATTTTATTTATTTTTATGTGGTGCTGAGGATCAAAGGCAAGTGCTCCACCACCGAGCCACAAACCCAGCCCACAAAGCAGTTCTTTTAACTTTTTTTTTTTTTTTTGGTGCTGAGGATTGAACCCAGGACCTTGCACATACAAGGAAAGCACCCTACCAACTGAGCTATATCCCCAGCCTCACAAAGCAGCTCTTTTTAACCCCAAATTATTGTCCCCAAATATGTTGTTTTTTTTCCAGTGACGGTTATATTTTTGTTCTGGTCACATATACTGAAAAGCACAGTATCTCCAATTCTCAAAAGCTAGAAACTTTACATTAGGAATTTGAACTCTTTAAGCTCAGATTAAAATTTTTTGTGCAATGGCTGAGTGAGGTGGCACAAGCCTGTACTCCTAAAGTAATTGGGAGAATGTGGTAGGAGTTCAAGGCCACTCTGACCTTATCTCAAAGTAAAACAGGTTGGGGATATAACAGTAGAGTGCTTGCCTATGATGTGTGAGGTCCTGGGTTCAACCCTTACTGTTTCCTTCTCCACAAAAAAAATAGAACTTGTGTAGTAGTTTTTTATTTATTTATTTATTTATTTATTTATTTATTTTTAGTTCTTGGCGGACACAACATCTTTGTTTGTTTGTGGTGCTGAGGATCGAACCCGGGCCGCACGCATGCCAGGCGAGCGCGCTACCGCTGGAGCCACATCCCCAGCCCCTTGTGTAGTAGTTTTTAATCACACAGTTCACCACTTGGTTAGGCATTCATATTTTCCCTAAACAGATGGTACAGGAACATTTCTTCCTTTTTTTATTTTATTTTTTTGTAGTAGGGATTGAACCCACAGGTGCTTTACCAATAAGCTGCACCTTCACTTTTTTTTTTTTTTTTTTTTTTGAGACAGGGTCTCACTAAATTGCTTAGGGTTTTGCTAAATTGCTGAGGCAGGCAAGCCTCAAACTCCTTCTGCCTCAGTTTCTCAAGTCACTGGGATTACAGACATGAATCACTGAGAGAGCAGACAGTGCATAAGGCTAAAATTTATCAAACTCTCAGAGACAAAACCAAAACCAAATTAGCTGTTTATCAGTTGGGGGTAGTGGCAGAAGGTTCGCCAAACATGAGACCAGCATTGACAACTTAGTAAGACCCTGTTCTCAAAAAATAAAAGGGCTGAGGATGTGGTTTATTTGTAAGTGTCCCTGGGTTCAATCAAAAGTTATTGACCATATTACCATTTTAAGTTCATATTCATACTAAAATTGTGTTGTTTTCATGGTGCTGGGGACTGAACCCAGGGGCGCTCTACCTCTGAGCTACATCCCCAATCCTTTTTGTTTCAAGACAGGGTCTTGCTAAATCGCCTAGACTGGCTTAAACTCGAAATCGTTGGCCAGGCAAGATTGCACACGCCTGTAATCCCAGCAGGCTGGGAAGGCTGAGGTAGGAGGATTGTGAGTTCAAAGTCAGCCTCAGCAAAAGCGAGGAGCTAGGCAACTCAGTGAGACCCTGTCTCTAAATAAATTATTAAAAAAAAAAAAAAATAGGGCTGGGGATGTGGCTCAGTGCCCCTGAGTTCAATCCCTGGTACCAAAAACAACAAAAAAGCTTGCAATCCTCCTGTCTCAGCCTCCTAGGAGCTGGGATTATTTAAGGCATCTGCCACTGCACGTGGCTGTACTGAATTCTTTTCAAGTCAAGTCAAATGGCAGGGAAATGTGTTTTTTTCTTTTTACTGAGTGAACTTTGGCTTGCCACATGCAAGTGAACACTTAGGAAGTGAATGATCTTGACTATTTTGAACCAGATTCTGTCAGATTCTGTCCCATTTTCATAGCACTATTCACATTAAACACATTTTTTTTCTAACGTCAAAGAGGTACTGAATCATACATCCTAATGTTCTATTTAATCAACCAGTATGTTGAGTACTATTTCCATGATGCTTTGCTGATTAACACTAATAATTTACAACTTACCAAAAGTCAAGAATTATTTTACCAATTTACCTTGTRCAAAACATAACTAGAATGATCAGCATTAAAGACAAATACAAAAACAAAACGTTAATAACCAAACTATACAGAAATGAGAAGCCTATTTTTAGAACTATCATTTACATACCTCTCATGTTTCCAAAATATATTTTATATGTGTGTGTATGTGTGTGTGTGTGTATATATATAATCTTTTAAAAAAATTCTCGGGCTGGGGATGTGGCTCAAGCGGTAGCGCGCTCGCCTGGCATGCGTGCAGCCCAGGTTCGATCCTCAGCACCACATACAAAGATGTTGTGTCTGCCGAAAACTAAAAAATAAATATTAAAAAATTCTCTTTAAAAAAAAAATTCTCATTTTTTTGGTATCAGGGATTGAAACCAGGGGTGCTTAACCCCACTGAGCCACATCCCCAGCCCTTTGTTGTTTCAGAGTCTCACAGTGTTGCTTATGGCCTAGCGCTAAATTGCTGAGACTGGCTTGAAATACAATCTTCCTGCCTCAGCCTCCCAAGCAAGCTGCTGGGATTACAGGTGTGCATGCACTGCTATATCACCTTTTGGTCCCAATCCACACACACAGATATCAACATTTCACATTATGTAAATGGGCCAATGTTATTAATGTATACCCTACACTAATACTCCATCAAGTTATGCTTTCTGTCCCATCACTTGCATGAACCAGTTTTTTTTTTTTCCTTCAGTACCCATGGCCTCACACATGCTATGCAAAGCACTCTTACTGCATTTCCAGATCTTCTAAGCCTAAATTCTTTTACCTAAATAAAATGGATGGCTTAAGTCAAGCTCATGGTGCACTACTTTTATCCCAGCTATATAGGAGGCTGAAGCAGGAGAATTGAAAATCCAAGGTCAACCTGGGCAACTTAGTGAGTCCCAGCCTCAAAATAAAATTTAAGAGGGTTGAATATGTTACTCAGTGCTAGAAAACTTGCCTAGGGCTGGGGATGTGGCTCAGCGGTAGCGCGCTCGCCTGGCATGCGTGCGGCCCGGGTTCGATCCTCAGCACCACATACCAACAAAGATGTTGTGTCCGCCRAAAACTAAAAAATAAATATTAAAAATTCTCTCTCTCTCTCTCCTCTCTCACTCTCTCTAAAAAAAAAATAAATAAATAAATAAAGTAAATTTGGCATCCTAATCTAGGAAATTTGAATTCTAAGGATATAATATTCAAATATGACTAACCCCATCTCAGAACAATTTTTTATAAATCATGACTCTGTACCAAGAACAATTACATCCCTAAGAACTCAATATTTTTTTCTAAGAAACAAAACTGACTTTTAAAGAAACTACAGTTTTAGTAATATTATCATCCTTTAATCTGTTTAGAGCATGTTTAGACTTTAAGATTGCAATGAAGCATACACATGAATTCATTTGAAGTATGAACAAACTACCATCAAACTTTATAACATTTCAGTTTTCAAATGAAGGGTTTAATTTCAATGTTGTGGGTGCCTGTTATCCATTTAATACATTAATGGTACATATTTTTTGCACACATTGAAGGAACTAAGACTGAAATTAATAGTGGTATGAAAAAGTTAGAATGCCACTGTACATTCAGATTTTAACTTCAACCAGTTACACAACTGTCAGACTCTATTCTTAAAAAAAAAATCAAAGGTGTTTTTAATTAAAGAAGCATTTATTTAAACATTTTAAAAATAAAACCCGGTTGCATGAAATATATGTTGATTATTAAAAAGTTCAACTCGACTCTAAAATAAATAATATTTGGAAGCTGTTTCATAAAAAAACCTTTGATTTAGGAATTATTTTTAATTATTGGTGGTTTTAGTTATTGTAATACCAAACCCAGAATTTTAAAAAGTAAAACTTGTTTCTCAGTTTGAAACCTAACTTATCATAAATCATTCAGTATACATGTTTTAAAAAATATTTTTACATGGCCTGCTTTCTGTTTAGCATTGAAATCACAGAATTAGTAAAGCTATCAGTATACTTTGACACAACTGGTTATTAAATCTGTAGGACAAAATTTTTTGTATTTTTAAATTATCTTTTAGGTAATGTACAAGCAGTCTTATGCAGAAATGGGAAAGGTTTTTGCCTAACCAAAGAACATACTACTCGAAACATCAAAGAAAGAAGAAGAGTACTTCAGACTGGAGCAGTAATCAGTTCAAATGAACCGTATGGGCTCCTAGAAGGGCAAATAAAAACCACAAGAGGACTTGGATTTCATGGAAATCTCAAACTGAAAAAATCCATTATCCCAGCACCTCAAACTATTTCTATTCCTATGGATGACTTATGTCAATTCCTTATCTTAGCTACTAATGGACTCTGGGAAGTTTTGGATAAAAAGGAAGTCACTGCAATGGTAATAACAATGTTTCATATGTATAAAGAAACATACACCTCAATCACACAGTTAGAAGCTCTACCATCTACAGGGCCTCCACTTCTTCCAAACAGTGACAAAAGTAATAATGAATTTGAAAGTGATATCCACATATTGTTTCAGTGTGAATCTGAATCTGAAGAATATGTGTCAACCACAAATTCAAAAAACTCGTCTGACTATAGTTTTGATGACCCGAAAAATGAAGAATTATCTTCACCAACAACAACTAGTCATGAGAATGAAATTGAAAGTGTAGATGATGAGCAAACAAGTATAAAAAAATTAGGCACTAAAAATTTCTATGAAGGTGCAGCTGAGTATATTAGCCATAAACTTGTAAATGCTGCTTTAGAGGCTGGATCCAGAGACAACATTACAGTTATGGTAATATTTCTCAGTGGAAGTGAATATCACTTGCTACCATAAAATATAAAGTTCTAATTATCCAGAGAACCAAAATATAATGCCACAAGGCAATTCGTTTATGAAGCAGATGTTAGGATGATACATCAATACCATGTAAATAATTTTAAGAAAGTAGTAAATATAAAAGTAGATTTTAGGTTACATAATATAATTTACATATGTTCACCATTTTATGCCAAAAAAGAGAAAAACCAGTACTTGCTTTTTATACCACTTTATTCCAACCTGAGCACCTCAATATAAAACTAAACACTGGTGAACTGTTTTCCTTACTAATTCTGAATTACTGTAAAATGTACAAGTTCTGCTAGCAGTTCAACACTTAAATAGATTAAATCATCTCTGACACATGGTAGATTTCATATAATGAAAAGACCTAAAATAATTAGTGCAATATACTGAACTGATCAAAATAAAATGGACTTTCAAAAACAAGGCTGCAAGATTGTTACTAACAATGCAATATTTATGTTACAAATTACAGGTACATTGTTTATTATGGTTCTAGTTATGAGGAACAACTGAAGCCCCTTCCTTTCAAAGGAGGAAGAAATAATTAGCGGTTTTAGTAACTGTACATTTGGTATACTTTAAGCAATTCTTAAATATTACAGAAAAATAATAAACATATGGAGACAATGCAGTACCCTATTTACAGTACAGATGGAAATCAAATTTAAAGTAATCAAGTTTGAATGTACATAATTGTTAGTGCACTGACTATATTTATGTTCAAAGGGAACAAAAGCCCCTTCCCTATCCCCAAACAAGACCTATATAATGGCCAGCAGTGATTAAATATAAATCACAGACACCTGGTTTGTTTCATTTTTGTTGAAGAGCTCACATGAAGAGAACACTATTTATTAAATTGCATTTATCTGTTTTTATACTCTTAAAACAAGATGGGGCTACATTTGCTTTTTTACCCCATTTAAAAAAATAATGGGACTGGCTATAATTTTGATGCCACTAATTTCCTTTTTCTTCCTGGAGATGTGGGACGGTATTCTTATGGTTAATTTATTATTAAAATGTGGAATGTACACTTTAGATAAAAGAAATTATCATTTGCCTGAATACTGCGGCTAAGCATAAACATCTGGAGAATCCTAAAAATGTTTTTCAAAAGTCCAAATTAATAATTTCTAAATCTTTTCCATAGATGACTACTGCTCCAGTTTGGAGAAACTGGATGGTTAGCTGTGGATCCAGTCATTTATCTTGATATCTCTAATGATGACAAATGATTCCCTCGTAACCTTCCAATGAAACAAGTATACACATAGTTCCCATCTTCCCTTTCTATTGCTGTAACATTAGTTAGAGGGATACATGCATGTTATTAAAAATTAAGTTCAAAACACATAAAATAATTCTGTATTAGAAACTCGACTCTATCGTAAGTCTCTTCTTTTTGGAAGTCATACTGGGCCGGTTAAATGCTCCAATCCCGCTGTTAACATTTAGGAAGCAGAATATTCCAGCTAGTTCAAACTGGAGGTTTAGTTACTACAACATTGACTCCTGGTTGGTTGTGTAGGTTCAGTAAGGTCTACTCCTCTTCCTCTAGTAGAATTTGCTCCTGGATTCTGTGGTTCATTCTTTGGCAACTTTTTAGCTGAGAGACAAATTATTAAAATAAATAAAATTAGAATATTAATATTAAAATTACTTTTATCTGCTTATTTATAATTTCTTTCTAGTTATGGTTATATGATGGTCATTCACTGCAAATATTTATTTGAATGAAATGAGTATCTATTCAATGCCAAACCCCCCCCCCCCCATTGATAGTTGTTCTAAGGGAGTATATGTTTGGGAAGGGGTAGATGACGACCAGTTGTAGAAACATAATCAAGACTTAAATTTGACTAGAGCTATATGTAATTCTTTTTTTTTTTAAATTTTAATATTTATTTTCTAGTTTTCGGCAGACACAACATCTTTATTTTGTACGTGGTGCTGAGGATCGAACCCGGGCCACGCATGCCAGGCGAGCCTGCTACCGCTTGAGCCACATCCCCAGCCCCTATATGTAATTCAACAATGTTTGTCCTCCCCAGTGCAACCTAATTATCATCCAGAAATATGAAGATCACATCTCCTTTTTCTTTCTTGGCTTCTACAGTCTTCAACCATCTACCTTTTCTTCCCTTAGAAAACTGCCCTGCCCTTTCCCCAGTGAACAAGAGCCTTCAATATACTAGGCAAGTGCTCTACCACTAAGTTATACTCCCAGGTCCTTTTTTTCCCTTATGTGCTGATAAAGAATCCTCATCTGATTCACCAGTAGTTGTATCTAATTATAACTGATTCTAAAAGGTCTATCTCCAAAAACTAGATCCCAATTCTGCTTTAAGTTAAGATGAGTGTGGCTGATCAAATTTGGACAAAGCCCCTGAACCAACATTTATGGCTTTAATTTTGCTGAGTTCTGCCAGCTAATGGATATTTTCTAGAGTATGAAAAATGTTTAATTACTAAGGTCCTTGAAGTTGCTGGATTCACTTTTTGAGGGGAGAGGTTATTAACATTATATGTCTATAGAGTTCTTATTGTAAGGGTGTTTGGACACTGATATTTATCAATCTTGGAGATACAATACCATGGGAAGACTAATTTTACCATAGCCTTGATTCAGGTTACTCAGGAAGCTGAATATGTTCTACTTTAAAATCTGATTGTTTAGTTGCATTTTGGATCTTTTACACTTTATTTATTCTGTATGTTCCACATCAGCACTAATTATCTTTAGAATCCTAGATGCTGGGATTGGGAAATGGATCCAGGAGATACAAAGGAGCACTGAAGTTTGGGTTCTAGGTACAGCTCTAGGAATGGCTCTACAAGATGATAGCATAAATGGTAATATAATGTTAAATTTCTAGTTAAATTTATTTATAAACAATGCCTTGTAGGTACTGAACACTAATACCAGAGGTAGAATAAGTTAGCATTATAAAACTGTACTATAATTAGGTTTTGGAATGAGTAAGCATTTCTCTCTTTAGCTTACTTGTTTCAGGGCTTTCAGAAATTACATCTGAATAAGATTAGGAGGTTGAAGGAAATAAACTGGAATGAGTTTTTAAGTCCTTGAACTGATTAAAATTGTTCAGTGCACTACTGTGTGATTTAAGGTACTAATCTTGTGATGAGAAGAGCACAATTCCATTTATATTTCGAATTTCTTTCAAGCAGGGAAACATTCTGCATTGCGGATGTAATTCAGTGGCAAAGTGCTTGCCTAGTATGCGTGAGGCCCTGGGTTTGATTACCAGAACCAAAAACAAAAAAACCCTAAAACAACAAACAAACATACATTCTCACTGGGGCGGGAGGGATGGAGGACACTAATCTGTAGGCTACTTTATAATGAAAAGTGACCTTATATAACATATCTGAATAAAAGGTACAAATTATAGCCCACCCTATGATCTTTCTTTTTCTGCAGTACGGGGACTGAACTCAGGGCCTCAGGAATGTTAAGACAACAAGTGCTCTACTACTGAGTTACAACTTCAACCCAGTGAAGTCTTAATACCATGGAAAACTTGAAAATCCAGGCTGATTTGAGCAACCTATTATCTCCTTGTTTCCTGTTATTAACTTTTTAAATGTGATTATGTGCATAACTTGTCCCATTTTTTTTTTAAAGAGAGAGTGAGAGGGAGAGAGAGAGGAGAGAGAAAGAATTTTAATATTTATTTATTTTATTTATTTTATTTTATCGGCGGACACAACATCTTTGTATGTGGTGCTGAGGATCGAACCCGGGCCGCACGCATGCCAGGCGAGCGCGCTACCGCTTGAGCCACATCCCCAGCCCCAACTTGTCCCATTTTTAAGAACAGCATGTTGTCATATATAATCTTTCAAATGGTACTAGTATTTCCTTAGCAAATTGCTTAAGTTTTTCAGGAAAACATCTTACACAACAAACAGGCAAGTTTTTATCCCCCCCATTTCAAATAATCCACCATTAAGCTTGATCACCTAGTGCAAATTATGAGTCCTTGGATGCTTTTACCGGGTTTTCTTTAGCCTTCGATGCAGTTATTAATTGGTTAATTTGTTAAGTTCAATATAAGAATGTTTCTTTTGGAGGGTCAGAATTGTGTACACCCTAGTTAAGAATCGCTGGGATGAGAATAATGCCAGGGTCAAGAAAACTGTGGAGGCAGTAAACTCTTGATAACTACCAAACTAGACCCCCTTCAGGCAGACTCTGCATACCTCAAAACCACTGGAAGTAGGTTAACAGAAATATCTTTTGTTTTTGTTTTTGTTATCATTATTTTTTAAAGGCTTGATACTGGGCTGGGGTTGTGGCTCAGTGGCAGAGCACTTGCCTCACATGTGTGAGGCCCTGGATTCAATCTCAGCACCACAATAAATAAATAATTAAAGGTCCATCAACAGTTAAAAAAAGGCTTGAATACTACTCAAACTTTATTACCTATCATCAAAAACTGAAATAGCAATTACCATGCTAAAAGCAAAGATATTGTTTTGCCTTCCTTCTTTACCCTTGTGCCTTCATGTATGAAATCTTCTACAATGTTTACATTAAAATAATTTTGGGGGCTGGGAATGTAGTTCAGTGGTAGAATGCTCACCTAGCAAGAATGAGGCCCTGGATTCAATCCCCAGCACTACACCACCAACAACAAAACAAACAAAAACATCACCCCCCACCAAAAACCAAACCAAACCAAACCACCTAAATTAATCGATTAGTCAATCTTTATACTTATGTATCATGTACTTTTCTGAGTTATATTCATTAATACTTCAAAAAACTTGAAAAACAGAAGTAGTGCTCTATTCAGAGCAAAGGAGAAACCAAATTATTGATTAGCTAAAAAAGAAATATTATATCTAAATATTGCTCTGAGTTTTTGTCTTGTTTTAGGAGTCTATATGTATCTGTGGTTTCAGTTACCACAAATGAGTAAGGTCAGAAAATATTAAATGGAAAATCCCAGAAATAATTGACAAGTTTTAATCTGCATGCTGTTCTGATTCAAAGGATGAAATTTTGTACCATTCTGCTCTGTCCAACCTGGGACATGAATCATCTCTTTGTCTAGTATATCCACATATATATGCTACTTGCCCATTATCACCCCCCCACTACTCCCCTCCCCCCTTCTACTACTAGCTATATTCCCAACCTTTTTTATTTTTTATTTTGAGACAGGGTCTTGCTTAGGGCCTCGATAAGTGGCTGAGGCTGATATTAAACTTGAGATTTTCCTTTCTCAGCTTTCCAAATCACCAGGATTACAGACATGTGCCACTGTACCCTGCTCCCAATACTTCTTAGTAGCCATCGAAGTTATTAGATTTACTGTTTCAGTATTGCAGTATTTTGTTCAAGTAACCCATATTTTGCTTAATAAAGGCTTTGAAATGCAAGATGATAGATGCTGGCAGTCCATAGTTGCCAAATAAAAACCATTAAGTGCTTTTTTCAAGTGAAAAGGTAAAAGTTATGGATTTTTAAAAAAAATCTGATACTAATGCTGCTAGGATCTGAATAAAAGCAAATACTTGGGGTTGAAGATGGAACTCAAGACTTTTGAGGCCCTAAATTCAATCCCCAGCATCAATTAAAGAGAAAATAATCTGTGAAATTGTGATGGAAAGAGAAATCTGTGCTAGTTTTGTTGTTTCACCTCAAACTGCAAAAGTTATGCCCACAGTATGTGATACATAGTTAAAAGATGAAAAAAGGTCATTTGTTTCTGAGTCAAGGGGAAAAAAGATTGAAAAGGCATTAAAAATAAGAGTTCAATACTATCCAAGGTTTTAGGCATCTGCTGAAGGTCTTGGAATGTACTTCCCATAGAGGAATTATTTGGTATAAAAAGTATACCATAATAGAAAAATATGTATTTACCCAAACTTTTTGGTGAAAGC